TATTATTATTATTATTATTATTATTATTATTATTATTATTATTATTATTATTATTATTATTATTATTATTATTATAAATATCGTTTGTTCATTATGTACTGCGGATTATTAGACAACCGCGCATTGAGTCATTGATTAAGCCACTGATCAGCATCGGTATATTAGACCACTTTGATGCACTGCCGTAGTTGATACCACATGCACACATGGAATTCCATTGAATTAAATCAGATGGAGAGAATTATTTATTCTCTTGAATGTTTGAATGCATTACTATACATAATAATATGTCTTTGTCAATACATGCACAGCACAAAACTCACTATAATGTGGAAACGAGAGAATTTGATAATAATAATGAAATGATTATATCAGGTAGTGTTACAGTTATCACAATCAGCATAGTTAGATGAAAATTTTGCTCACTTCCCGGGACCGGAACTAAGATTCTATGACAAGAATGGAAGAATAGACTTGTTATTGTGGCTACTACTACTACTACTACATGGATTTTAAACTTGGTATTGAGAGTATTTTAAGATGTGGACAAACTGAGCCGTATTTGATGAAGAGCCAGTTGCTTTGAAGGTTATAAGCTGATATTTTACATAAAATTCAAAAAAGAAATTGAAACACACAAAAATCTCGTCAGAATTTGAAGGAGGATATATTCCCAAATTGGTATATCATAATTATTATGGATGTTGGATGGACGCGCCATTTCCTCCCTTACTAACTCTCTCGCTCAAAACTTAATTAGTTGCTGCTATTTTTATGGCATCACATTGTTTATATTTAGTAAGCCAAATTATCATGGCTGGGCTACATCGCCACACATTTGAATAAGCGTAATAATAAACCCAAATTATAGAGTAAGAGCTTTTACTTTGGAGGCTTTAGAAGTTATAACATTCTTTAAATGATATCTGACAAAGAATGTCTTAATTAATAAAAAAGGTAAAAGCTTTTTGGGATGTCTGTTGTAACAAGACACTATTTTATGAAGAAGTATGTGAATTATCCAGTTTATCAGATTGCTATATTGATTAGTTATATTGTTGAACATTGGTTAATTGGAGAAGAATGAGAGGGTGTCTCCATAGTCCATGACTGAATTTAGTAAATAGGACGTGAGAAAATTAAAGTTATTTATGAAATATTGTATGCTACTATACAGTACGTCTTTTATCAGAGATACAAGAATTTTTAGGAACCAGCATCTCGATTTATGGGGTACTTGACGGGATTTTATATATTTGTGTGGAATCAGCCCAAATTTTTAACCGTTGTTTTTATGCAGCCCGGCATTTATACATATAAATCCGGGATTTATACGATAACGGGATTTATATACGACATATCCACGTCCTCCCATCGAGCTTAGCACATCTTTCATATCGAAACAAACACGCAGACGAAAAAATGGAAGCGTTGAATATTGTGCAGGAGAATCTGAAGAAGGCGGAAAGGAAACTGCAAGAAGCCACGAACGAGGGGGATAAAGAGTTCTGGAAGAAGCGTGTGGAGGCGCGCGAGGCGCAAGTGAATAAATTACAGGATGCGTTGACGGCGACTGCTCCAACAGGTAACGACTTTGTGACTCGGACGTTGGGGACATAGACACAGTATAGTAATAGGCTAGATATACTATTATATTATGGATTTCTCATTATGCTATTACTATAGAGTTTATGGTTCTACTTTCCATACCATTTTTTATGAATTTCTCTCATCTCTCCATCCTTCTTTTGTTTTTACTCAATTAACTTTCTTCATCTTTAACATCATATTAAGCACAATAGAATGTTTAGAAGAAACTTAACAGACAAGCAAACTTTTAACCAAAACGTCGCCTTCACTTAACGACATAAGCGACAAGATCAATGCACTATATCAACACGTGATGGAAGAGAGAATTGAAACGGTTTCGATCTCAGCAGTGAATACAACGCAGTTTCAACGTTTCTGTGATCATGTCAACACTTCCCTAGTGTCTTTGCCATATAACGGACACATACCAAAACACGACATTGATTTCTATCATTGGAATGCCGACGCTGCTGAAATTAATCACCAACAACGAAAAGACATTAATATATATCTGAATCGCCACCTTAAACCCAAACTTCCTGAAGGAGTAATTATTTTCGATGTTTCTAGTAAAAGAGATCTTCTTAATATAACCAAGAATCCGCTCTTTCCGTTTAACGTCCGCGGTGGAACTAATCTTATATTGGTTGAGAAAGCCGCTGTTGAGACTGGACTTATTCAAGCAGGAATACGTGCAATTATAGTATTGAAGAAGAACGTGCAAGACAATCATTCCAAACAAGCTATTTTCGAAATGCTTATAGCAGATCTTTGTGTATCCGATGAAATTAGAGTCATTGGAGTATTGACAGACCTGGTAAATACATGGAACTTTTACTGGATAGAAAAGGAAAGAACAATTAAATCGATGCATTTGTCGCATCGTGGGAAAGCGCTTGATTTAATTGGCCAGCTAGCGAGCACCACTCAGAAAAGAGAGTCAAAAAATCCAACTATCGGAAGAAATATAGTGTATCGTGAGAAAGTTAAATACGCTTTTCCCGTAAAGAATGACTATGACAATGATATAGCCCGAATAGAGGTACTTTGATTTATCTGTACTAATATTGTCATTTCTACATTGATTCTTAACTCTATTGATAGTTTAAGTTCGTAATATATTAGGATCTTTATGACGATATGAGTATGGAAGAGATACGAGAATATGAAATGCGCAAAATAATTAGTAGTATAATCCAAGGTAATCCAATATTTTCGGATTTGTTTGATAATAGCAGTCAGATAAATTGCTTGTTGTGACTATGCTTTTAATCTATTCTTGCATAATAAGTGTCGAATTCGTTGACAGAAGTGTTGTATTCGTGAGAAGTTTTTGGCCTTCGTTAAAGAATTAGTGTATAATTAAATACATTAATATGTAACTGGTAACTAATGGCGCGTAAAAGAATTAGTGTATACTTAAATACATTAATATGTAACTAGTAACTAATGGATAGAATCACAAAAGTCCCGTTTTGAATTTTCCCCAGCATCACCATGAAAATTTCACATTCACATGATTATTTATATACGTACGTATGTATAATTTAAGTTTAACACAAAATTTAGCATAAATTAAAAAAGATAGAGAAAAATTACGACTATTTTGTTAGCGCATCTAGCTGACCAAGCAATCTATTATGACACGGTTTTTTGACTGCTGTTTCACCGTGGCGAGAGACGAACGAAGAATTTTAAAAACGCAGAGAGAAAACAAAACAAAAAGAGAAGTGAGGCAGGAAAACAAGAGCCGATTCTCGCCAGAAAATATTTAGCCATTTACAAAATCGGAAGTAAAAAAACAGGACAACTCAGAAAACTTAAAAGCTGAATACAATAAAATTTGAACAGATATTCATTCTGATGTTGCAGAATGTATCATTGATAAATGAGTTTGCTAAGCATTTTTACCGAATTCAAATTTTAGGTTATGAAAGAAGAATAAATGATAAATATGTAGAGTGGTTGTTCACGTAAAGAAGATTATTCTTTTGGGCAATATCACTCTCACTGCCATTAAGTCTTTTGCCGATGATTTCGTCTTCATATATCGAGAACGTAATTAATCTGTTGCGTACTGAGGTAATAAATTTACCTGTTGATCGGAATGGGCACGTGCCCAATCGTAACTGTAATGAGTCCAAAATTCTTTTCTTGGTGTCAGTTTTGCTTTTATAATTTCACCCAGTGCAGTCATGTGAACGTGAAATTTTCATGGTGACGCTGGGATAGTTCCGTTCTGAGAAGAAATCACATGACTTGAAATAGATAATTCAAATGATGCAGATGCTGATCCAATTCACAAAAGTGTTCGACGTTTCTTTTTGATTATAACTGAATATGCTGAAAATGTTAGTGTAATGAGGCCCTCGTTTAATTGTTAATTTTTATTCCCGGCTTTACTATTGCGAAGCTACAGTAAAAAAGTTGAAATTTCGTATCAATTATTAAATTAATGCCCTTCATAAATTCTTATTCACGAAAGTGATAAAAATATATAGGATTACCTGTATATGGAAAATTACAGCTATAATGGTTCGACTGACTATGACAAAGCCATACGTTTTTTGGAATTAGGTTGCAATTGTGGTTGTTCAAAAAAGATCCCGAGAGAAAGGTTTGCCGAATTACGTGAAGCGTTTCAAGCTCTCTCTAGATCCGAGCAAGATATATTTTTAATGGCTCAGCTGAAGGTAATAAATGGTGGAGAAATAACTTGTCGAGCGTGCGCCATTGGTCGAATTTAAGTGGCCAGTCGACGTCTTAAAAAAAACGCGTACTAATAAGCAAAATTTTTATTATTGAGACCGCAATACGCCACTTTGTCAGAAAATATGTTAGAAATTGGTCGCACGCGCTTTGAAATTATCTAGCGGCAAATGGTATAATGCCGCGCGTCCATGGTAATGTAAAAAGAGTGCCGCGGTGGAAAACCAAAATAACCATTGATATGACCGTTGCTACTGCCGTGAAGAATTTTCTCGAAAACTATGCGAAAATTCACGGACTGCCAAGTCCTGGTAGAAATGTCAATAGCATTACTCAATCGCTTACACTTCTGCCAGCCGAAACGAGTTGAATTATTAAAATATGATGCGTTCGCAAGTAATGGCATCAATTAACACCTTACATACAATAATGAGTCCAAAAACGGATTTATGTGACACGTGCCAACATTTTCGGAATGGCTTACAGTACAATGCTCGTAAGGAAGAAGAAACAAAAAATTTACTCAAAAAATCCAAAAACATTTAGTTAAGGCCAAAATAGAAAGAAACTATTACAGCAAAAATACGAAATTGGTAAAAGAACAAAGAAAATTAGTAGATAAGCAGTTTATAATAAGAGACAAAGTTGATTATTGTAACGTTGACGCGACTGCTCATTACAGTTACGATTGGGCACAAAATGTTCACGTTCCCCATTCCGATCAACAGGTAAGTAAGATTTACTATCTCAGTCCGCGCAAAGTACATTTATTTGGTATTCAAAATGAAGCAGTACGTGAACAAAATTAATTACGTTCTCGATAAGACGAAATTATCGGCAAACATCCTAATGGCACGCTGATCATGGTATTCGATGGAATAAGAAATGTGAGACATATTTAAATATTACTTGTGATAACGCGGGCGGACAGAATAAAAATAATGCCACTATTTGATTATATCTGTATTTAGTAATTTGCTGTTATTGTGAAAGTATCGAATTAAATTTTATGGTACTAAATTTAAATGTTATAGTAGTTTTGGACTAATTAAGAAACTTTACCGAAAAACGACAGTAGACTGCATAGAGGTTGTGAAAAAATAAGTACAGCGGAATTAAACAAAGCTCAGTGTTGCAAAGGTTTCCGGTATCCAAATCTTAATATTAACTCTATGTTGGGGATTTTCTTTAAGAAATCAAGTAGTTTACAAAAATATCAGCATTTTTTTTGAAGTTGTCAAAGCTCAGTTAATCACTAATGGTGCTTTTACTGAATCCACTAAAAAAGCATGCATTTTTGAATTACCAAAGAAATAATCCTTTTCCATCCTAGTGCTAACTCCTCCTCCTCCTCCTTTGGATTACAAAAGACAAGAATATCTTTATTATAATATGGGGTATGCTGCAACAAAACCAGACAAAGTGAACATTTGACTATGTAAGTTAAAAATTCTAGTGCGGCTGATTTTTTAATTTGGTATTAGCGGCACAGCTGTGGCCCATGTCTGAATTCCCAGATAACTTTAGTTGCATTACATTAGAGAAAGAAAGGGAGGAAAAATTTCGCCTCCGCCCGCAAATTTTTTAAGCTTTTTGGGGGTGGGGTGAAAGGTAAAAAGTGGTTAAAGTCTCAATAGTAGGAAGTTTAACGGTTTAAATCCATATTATTAAAACAAATCGAAGTTTGCCTGTTTAATAATAATTAATTCCCCTTCGATTCTGTAATATAATAATTTATTATTATATCATAGGTATCCTTACTTGGATACGAGTACGTGAAGAAGCGCGCACGATATTAGGTCGCTTGAATTTTAGATTTAGTCGCAAACGGTGAGCTGAAGCTAAATTCCCGTCGGCGAACACACCTACGCGAAAGATTATCGTTCTTCCACAACCCAGACTGCCGACCACAACAACATTTAAATAGTACTTAATATTCTGCGTCAATTATTTTCATACATGTTGGCAACAATTACCATTACAGCATTAACAAGTATGTAAATTTCGTGAGCATTGGATTTTTGATTGGTGAGCGATTGATTTCGCGCGTGACTCATGTTGCGTGCAAATCTCGGTTCAAGAAGCCCACTTTGAACAAAGGAATGAGTAAACAGTATCACCCGGATGACATCTCATCACAGTCCCATGTATCCTATTCACCACAGCCGTCTGAGCGCGCCATGAGCACAGCCCTTCGGAGCGGATATCGAACGTTTACAACAAGTAAATCATTTATGATCAGGCACCCAACTACTTTTTGTGTAATCTTATTCACCACTGAAGTTCGCTGCTCCTGTCGGTTCGATAACGGTTTTCGATTGCACTCCGCGTGCTTTCAAAAACACGCCTAGTGGCGGCGTCCCTTCGGATACACACATACTAAGTAATTACCCTCACGACAAACAATCTACAAGTGTGGCCTCGGAGAGCTTTCAAGATTATCCGGCTTTTACACCTAGTGGCAGCGCACCTTCGGATACAGACCCTCAACCGATTTACCCAATAAGAATTCTTACCTCGAAAACACCCTCGCGTCGGTGTGCGCAATATCGCGAAATCGTGCCGTTGTTGAGTAATAAGAGTTCGTCTCGTTCGCATCCCGTATAAGCGTAATATGGAGTAATAGTAGAGAACTCTTGTTGGTTGACGACCGTTCATATAGTATGTGTATAATATGGAGTGGTGGGTAAAAGAAGTTGTCGTGAAGCGATGGAAGCGTCTGGGTATATATATGTATGCACAAGTAGACGCGTGTTTGCCTCTTCCTCTTAGATGATGGAAGATAACATACAGTAACGTGCAAAAGTGTCCTACCGATTGTAATTCAGGACAGGAATAATCAAACGCTTTGAGCATTTCCCTGCATATAATGTATAACAAACCCGATTATGTGTAAAATTTCAGATCGATCGGATGTTAACACTACAGGGGTCAGCCTCATATGTAGCAAGCTGTCGCTTGAGGTGCTGTCGAGGTCTGGTAATTGTGCAGCATTATCTTGATTGGTTTATTCAATTACTTTAATTAATTATCTTGCAACTGAAAAAAAAACACACGTTTATCTACAAAAGAAAAAGATGTTATGAAGCGATCCATAGCAGCACTTCGGCATTTTTCTTCATTTGGTTCCATGGAGCAATCGTTTACAATCAACTCCCG